GCTGGTTCCGGGATGGGCAGCTCCTGCCTGCGCCCCCAGAGCCCAGCTGCCTGTGGCTGCGGAGCTGTGGGGCACAGGACGCCGGCGTGTACAGCTGCACGGCCCAGAACGAGCGGGGCCGGGCCTCCTGTGAGGCTGTTCTCACAGTGCTGAAGGTCGGAGGTAATCGGGAGGTGGGGCGGCGTCTGGCCCGGCTGAGGGGAGCAAGGGTAGAGAAGGGCTGCCCGGGCCACGTGAGGCAGGTAGCAGTTCCTGGCCTTCTTCCCAGGTGCCAGGCTTCTTAGCTGCTGAGGGCAAAAGTGCAGATCAAGTGGGAGATGTAAGGAAGTGGTGTCGGGAGAGGAGTCCCTTGGGAAGGTCAGAGGTCAAGGGTCGGTGGTGGGTAAGACAAGCCTGAGATTCATACAGGCCTCTTGGGGAGCTATGATGGAAGCCCTCCTCCTTTTCTGCTAGAGAGAAGCCTCCCGGAGGGCAATGTTCATCTCCAATAAGGGAGCTGGCAGTTGTGAGCTCCTTAAAGATGTGTGCTTGTCTGAGGGAGGAACTGGTTTCCTCTGGTCTGTGGCGCGCTGGGGAACAGATGGGTCAGATTTCCTTGCAGGCCATTGCTGTGGCAGGGCTGTACTATCAGTACCAGGTGCGGTGGAAGGGACCAGTGGATAGACGCCTGTGAACAAGGTCCAGGGCACCAGGAAGTGGGGCAGGGGCTGGGGCATGAATGGAGGTGGCTTCTTAGGAATCCACAGGCATGGGTGTGGAAGGATGGTGATGGTACAAACAGATGAGGACAGAGCATGTGGAGCTGGTGTGAGAAGCCCATGGACCATGCCTACTGAGGTTCCAGAGTTGGGTGTTCAGAGGGCTTGGAAGGGGATGTTCTGGACAGGGTGGAGGTACTTTTCCAGGCAGGTGGTCTGAGCCCTAAGGGGAGGGACAGGAGCCTGGACCCAGTGTTCACTGCCCTGCTGGCCTTGGGGAAGAATGCCAAGCCAGCACCAATTCTCCTTGGGTTAATTTTTGGGCTTTTCTAGTCCCCAACTCCAGGGTTAGGTGCATGGTTCTTGTCTAGGCCAAACATAGAGCCTTAGATAGACTGAGCCTTGAAAAACAGAAGCTGAGAAAATAGGCTGCATTTGGGGGAGGTGGCAAAGAGCTGGGGCAGGGGTAATGGTGACTGCCTTGGACATTTGCAAGAGGGGCTTCTCATTCCAGCTGGGTGATGTCCTATAGGGGTCAATTTTGGGGGGCTGGGGAGGAGGCCCAGGGTGAAGGAACTCAGCAGCCAGATGAGAAAGAAAGCTCAAGATGCACCCCAGTCAGGATATGGAGCTCTCAGCATCTCATCTCCCCAGCTTTGCCCTGCGCACCTCCCAGTCTCCAACCACGGGTTCCTCTGGCTTGGGCCAGGGCTGGCTTCTCCTGATTGATCTAGAAGTTGGCCAGGTACAGGATTCCCTAGCTTGGGGTCAGGGGTGGCACCTGTGGTAGAGTTCTGACCTGGAGAAAGAAGAGACTCTTTAGCGTTCTTACTTAGCTCTGGTCCCCTCAGGGGCAAAGAGAGCTAAAACAGAATATTAATTGAAAGGTAAGACAGATAAGTTAATAAGAATAGTTTCAGGAGAGAGAGCTATTCAGGAAGGAGAAGCAGGGCAGAGAAAGAGCAGTGGTTATAATATTTGTTTAATGTTGGGCAGGTCCTCAGAGAACTGCAGCTCCAAACGCTTCCTTTTTCAGGTGAGAATGCTGTGGAAGGGAGGTAGACATGCAACTGCTTATAGCCATCCCATTCCAGATCTAAGAAACTTGTCTTCCTGGTTTGGGCTCTGGAGCCTTTTGTTACACAACAAGTTCTGATGGTGATGGGGTGTGGGGCTGGATTTGGGACCTTTAGCATTCATTTTAGAATAGGAAAAGGATTGGGCTGCAGCATGTTCCATCTGACAACATGTCCAGGTCGTGCAGAGAGAAAGTGCCAGAGTAAGTGGAGGTTTTCATTTTGCCCCATTGCACATGACCATGTGGTTAACTATTATGCCTTCTTCTATGATTTGGGGGAGGTAGGGGCTTTGCTCTGGCAATGCTGGGAGACTGACTGGATGAGTGTGGCTTATGCCCTCTTCTGCTGCCCATCCCTCAAATGCCTTCCCAGGGACTGGTCCCTGGTCCAAGGCAGCTGCACAACACCTTAGCATTGCTCAAACTTCGTCGTGGAAAACTCTCTGGGTTGGAATCAACAGCAGGAAGACTTTAGGGTTCTCAAGGAAGCCAAGAAGAACCTGGCTATAGAAGAAAAGAGGCAATTTCTGGCTGGGATTGCTTTCAGCTCAGCAAGACAAGATGATGCTGAGGCTCTTGGCACTCCCAAAGCTTGAGGTAGTAGCTCAAGAGGAAAGGCTTAGGGAGACTGGGGACCTGAGGAGACCAGGGAGCTGCAGGCTGGTGAGTTTGCAGAATGGGAAACTGGTATAGTGGTGGTAGGATTTGAGGGTGCAGAATGAGGAAAAATAGGAAGCAAAGGAGGTGAAGATAGCAGAATTGCAGGAGACTTGTAAAATCCTTAACTGTATAAGGCACACTATCTAATTTAATTATGTAATGTTCTAAACCCCAGATTACTATTGTGACCATTATTATAAGACAAAAGCATTCAAAGGGGGAAAATTACTCAAGTTCATGTGGCTAATGAGGTGGTAGGGCTGGACTTGAATAGTTGTCACCAGACCTGGGTCCACAGAAATAGAGGTAGAAAGACTAAGTTAAGGATTTGTCATTGTGACCATTTTTCTCCTGTCATTAACCCAATCCAGTCTCTAATATAGGTAGGCATTCTTCTCTTTCCAAACACCAGCCTCCCACCTGCCCAGGCTGAGAAGCCAAGCGATCAGAGCAAGAGCTGCCCTTGGAGCAGGGAGCATGCGTGGCAGAGGGTGAGGTTTCCTAGCACAAAAGGGTGGGGTGGGGGTGAGCAAGGACACAGCTGAGAGGAGGGGCAAATGGAAGATGCTTGTGTGTGTATGTTGGTTGGAGTTTTCAAACCAGGGTCTGGAAAGACTCTGGTGTTTATCAGAAAGGCCAAAGGCCAAGAGATGGTAGTGAACCATCCTAGGTTCTTGAAATAGAGGAGAGAAGTTAGCAATAGGGAGAGAGAGGGCCAGTAGAGGCCAGGGAAAGATGGGGGAACACACGAGAATCTGCATTGAGGGATATTTGGCAGTTAGCATCTTTTTCACCTGGGATTTGGAATGCCTGACTGGAAGAAACTAGTATGGAGTCAGGAGTGGGTATGGTAAGTGCTGCCATCCATTTGGGCCAAACACCAATCCAGGAGAGGTGGAGGCACCAGACAGGAGCAGAGAAGAGCCCTGGGAAGTAAGGGAAGCAGAGAGGCCCCTGGAGGCAGCCGAAGCCTCTGCAGGAGAGAGTTTGTTGATAACAGCAGGTCTTTCCAGAAGACCTGGGTAGAATGGGGGTCATCTCTGCTCCAGCTGTTTCTTGGGAAAAGATCTGGCTCAGGAAAGAGCGCAAAATGCTAGATGAAGGAAGATTCACCACCTATCACTCTTCATCCCCTCCCCCAGGCTGTGCCACCCACTCCCTCCTATGTGACAGGTACTGGTCTTAAGTGTTTGGGAGGCATGAGTGGGGCAGGGGAGATTATCTTTGAAGATTACATTCTAGTGGGGCACACACAATGTGCCACAAAGTACATTACATAGAATGTCAGAGATTTCAGAGTAGGGCAGAGGCAGGACAGAGAGGAGGCAAAGGGGAGAATAGCAGGCGTGTGCAGCTCAGTGGAGGGTCTGCAGAACAAATCAGGTGTGGCACAGGCCCTGGAGTTCCTGTGGTTAAGGGGAAATGCTGGTGCAGAAGTGGAAATCCTGGGGAAGAGGTAGGGAAACATAGCTGTCTGGCCTTGCAGGGAAAATGAGGCATTCTGGGGCCAAGTGTAGAGCCCCAACCTGAGAGCACAGCCCAAGCCAGCCTTTCCTTCAGGGTGAGCAATGAGGCCCCAGGGCAGGAATTACAGAATCACTGGCCCCTCCTCGGCCCAGCTGTCCCGTCACTCATGCCTGCTACCCATTGGTTATTTTTACTATGGAATGTGCCAGCCCCTCGGATTCTCCTGGGGAACAGGGGCTCAAGTTACCCACTGTCCCACTCAGCTCCCCATCTGTGAGTAGGTGTATTTGGGGGTGTCCGGGGTCTTCTGGCTGGGACCAGTGCAGACACACATGTCAACCCTCTCAGTACACATTCCTGTGCATGTGTCTGTGTGTGTAACATTTGCCACTGGTGGTCTGGGAAACAACACTTGTATGTACCCAGAATGTACAAGGCATGGTCTTAAACTTTTAAAAAAAGGGACCCAAACTCAACTTCAAGAGCCAAGCAGAGCTGGGGATGTGGCTCAGTGGTGACACATCTGCCTGGCAAGCACAAGATCCTGAGTTTGATCTCAGTACAAAAAAAAAAGGCCAAGTAGAAACTGGAAAATGAAATAGGTGCTATTGTCATTGTCTGAACTTGGGCATTCTTATCTGACAACCCCAAACATTGTGCAGGTGGAGCAAAAGTCATCACTATATTTCCATATTTTATTTTATTTTACAGTTCTGGCATTTGAACCTAGGACATTCACAGCGAGCTATATTCTCTGCTCTTTTTAATTTTTTTTTTTTAAAAGATGTGTTGAGTCGCTAAATTTCCAACACTGGTTTCAAATTAAAAATCCTCCTGTCTCAGCCTCAGCCTCCAAGAGTGCGGGAATGAATTATGTGTGTGTGCCTCCATGCCTATCTGTACGTAGTTAGTACCCAGGCTTTAATTAAAGCAATAAAGTTAGGGGTCATACTGGCCAATCAGCGTGTGACACTTTATGACAAAGTGGTCAATAACCAGCCACAGAACCATAGACTCCTGAGTGCCTTAATTTGTTAGCTGTGTGACTTTGGGCCTCAGTCACCCTCCTTATTGGGAAGATAGAATGAGTTTATTCATACCATGTGCTTAACACAAGTGCCTCATACAGACCAAGAATGAAATAAATGTTAATAACTACTTAGTACTGAAGTCATAGCTCAGAAACAGGACTAGCACTACCTGTGCATGCTGGGATGAGAATTCCCATTTGAATACACGCAGTCTCAGAAGCTGTGTGGCTCTGGCCAAGTGACAGGACTTCTCTGAGCCTTTAGCTTGACAGTTAAATGAGGATGGGCATGCTCATAAAGACTGCTGGCTCTTGGGGTTGCTGTAAAAGAGGAAACAGTAGCAAAGCACCAGGCCCTGGGTAAATGGCAAAGGAACCTAAGCAGGGAATAGAACTTTGCAGTTTGCTAGTGCTGAATGGGGCAGGGGCAGGGAGTGGGGGAGAGAGCACGTTACAAAATTTGGTGAGTGTGCTCACCTGTGAGAACATGGGGTAAATGACTACTACCTCTGGACGCCTTGTGCTTGTATGTATGGGGTGAGGGTAGACAAGGTAAATAGAGGAAAGCCTTCTCTGCCTGTCTCAAGGAGCCTGGGGAGGGGTTCTTTCCAGTCAGGGTCCATGTCACCACAAAGCTTCCATCCCCGAGGACCCTTGCCCTGAGGATGACCTAGGTGCTGCTCGCCCTGTGCTCTGCCTTGCGGTGAGCTGGGTTGTCTGGCACAGCGTGCCTGTGAGCATATTTGCCAAGTAAGCGAGATGTTGCTGACCTTCCAGAGCCGCCCTGCCGCAAGAGGCTGTGTTGGGCTGACAGTGAGAATGGCCTGAGCTAGACGTCACTGCACCCTTTTCTGTGCCTCAGTTTCCCCATGTACCCAAGGCCCGGGAGGCAGATGGGTGGTGGCGGGACTATCAACGGCGGGAGCTGTCCCGTGGGCGTGCTGGGAGGCAGGTGAGGGCCGCCCCAGGGGAGACAGAGGTGCAGTAAAGAGAAGGGGCGCCAGGTGGGGGTGCAGGCTGGCTGGGGAGGGGCGGGCTCTGGGCGCCGACGCCGCCTTCCCAG